CAATGAGAGATTATCCAATAGAAACAGTTCCAGGCACATAACTTTTATCTGCAGTCCAGGAATGGGGAAGATAGAATAGGCTTCAGAGGTAACAGAGAGGCTCATTTGGTTTGGTTTTGCCCTCTAAGTAAGTATGTTCATTCACACACTCCACAGGTGCCAGCCATGAATTCCCGGTCATAAGGCTTTTCTGGTGTGAGCTGAAGGACAAACCCAGTGGTAGGAAAGGCAGGGCACAGTGTGGGAAGTGGGAAAGGACAGGTCCAAAGTCCAGGGTCCCAGGAGCTCTGAGGTCCCCATGATCAGAAATTCAGCCAGGGCCCAGAGCTCAGAGCCCTGAGCCCCAGTAGCAAGTAGAATTGGGGAATAAAGGAGGGGTCCCTCTCTGTTTCAAATATATTTAACATAAGGCTGTGGTCCAAAGTCTCCAAGGCAAAAAGTAGTATAACACACATACGTGTGTATGAGCATACACATGTACATACAAGCACACACATATACACACATGCGCACACACATGTGCACACACAGATAGCATGGCATGTCCAAGTGTCAAAGAGAAACAGGAGCCAACTAAGAAAGCTCCCAGTGGCCCAAACTGGAATTGTTTCAGCAACAATAACAACAACAAATAATAAAGTAGCATTGGATTGCAATCCAATGTATGAAATAAATATGCATGAATCCATGCTGGTATAAATGGCTGAATAAATGCTATAAATAAATAAATGATTGAGGAGGGACAGCTCTCCCTTGCAAAAATACAAATAATTGATGCACCTTGTCCCCCTGCAAGGAAGTAGTGCATCATTCTCCCCCCCCACACACACACACATAAACACTGCTTGAGCAGAGCTGGGCACTGCGCAACTTCCTCCCTGACAGCTCCCATGGGGAGGCTGGGAGAAGAGCCACCTTTTCTGTGGAGAAAGCCAGCCCACACTACCTGAGCCAGGTGATCTAGCGTGAAGGTGGCATCACATGGATTTCATGTATGCCATTGGCAGTCTTGGGCAGGAAGCCAGCGGTGCCTGGCAGCTTTGGAACTGGGCCAGTTGTGCCTGTCCCCATAACTGAGGGAGGCCTTAGAGACACTGGCAGGGTCCTCAGCTGCTAGGAACCCAGAAGTGCAGGGCGTCCCGTCCCTTCACTGTGGCCCAGGTTGGAGGATCCTGCCAGTAACACAGTGTCCAGCAGATGGGACAGTGATCTATCTACAGGGACAGGGTTGCCAGTGTGTGGCAGCAGGTGTGACCTTCAGTGCAAAAGGGCAGTACTAACTAGAGGCGTCCCCAGGGATTAGTGGGGGCAATGACACCGGGCAGCCTCAGAAGGCCCTGGGGCAGCCATGTCCGTCTGCCTCAGGACACCAAATGCTAGAAGATATAGCAGTTATCCCAATTAGTAGGGCTGGGAATGTGGCTTAGTGGAGGAGTACTTGCCTTGCATGCATGAAGCTCTAGGTTTGATTTCTCAATACCACATAACAAAAAAAGCCGGAAGTGGTGCTGTGGCTCAAGTGGTAGAGAGCTAGCCTTGAGTACAAAGAGGCTCAAGGCTAGTACCCCGGCTCTGAGTTCAAACTTCTGGACTGGAAAAAAAATTATTTCAATTAGTTACAGTTAACAATAAAAAGCTGAATGCGGTGGCTCTAATTTCAGTCCTTAGGAGGTTGAGGCAGGAGCTCTTGAGTTCAAGGCCAGCCTGGGCTACAGAAAGACCCTGTTTTTTTGTTTTGTTTTTTAATCATTAAGAACAAAAGAGCCAGCTGTAATAGTTCACACCTCTGATCACCCGGGCTACTTAGAAGGTTAAAATAGAGAAGATTGCCATTGAAGGCAAGCCTGGGCAAAAAGTTCACGAGGCCCCATCTCAACAGAATAAACTAGGGAGTGGTAGTGTGTGCCTGTCACATCCACTATGGCAGGAAACATGAAGAGGAGTCCAGCACGGACAAGTGCAAAACCCTGAGTTTAAATCCTGATGCCAACCAAAAAAAGATTTCCTTGGAGCAGTGATTGTAGTAAACAGTGACATCCAATCTATTTCTAACCATGACAACCTGATTATGATTGTTTTTAATAAGCATCATCTAACATTTTTGTAAGTAATTGTTTTTGGAATATTTTTCAGATTTACAGAAAAAAATAGGAAGAGTACTACAAAGGTTTGTCTGTAGACTTCACAGTTCCCTATCATCCTATTTTCTTGCTTTTTTCACCCAACATTAAATTGAGATATATCTGTATTGATATTGATATACAGATCTAACTGTATCAATATTGGGTTCCATCGGTCTAGAAACTTCTCATGGTCTCATGTAACCATAGGTTTAGTGCTGGGAACTGCATTTGGTCACGTAGGCCTGTCAAATCCCTGGTCCTGCAAAGAAGGTATTTACCTAACCCTAATTTATTCCTAATGTTATGACCATCATTAGGTTTTCAGTGTTCTGCACCAGGCTGGGAAAATAGCTTAGTCCCTGCCTGGCTTAGGGGTGGGAGCCCAGCACTGCAGAAAAACCAATTTGTAGGTAAATGTTACAGTACAGACAGTAAATGCTGCATCACCATGAGAAAGTAAACGTTGAGTTGCTGGAAGAAGGCAGAAGTAGATAGGAGATGTCCAGGAAAATTATCTCATCAGGAAGAGAGTCAAAAGATAGCAACTAGGCCGGGTGCAGGTGGCTCATATCTGTAATTCCAGCTACTCAGGAGGCTGAGATCTGAGAATTGCAGTTCAAAGCCAGCCCAGGCAGGAAAGTCTGAGAGAATCTTATCTCCAATAACTCACCAAAAACCAGAAGTGGTGCTGTGGCTCAAGTGGGTAGAGCACTCGTCTTGAAGAGCTCAGGGACAGTGCCCAGGCCCAGAGTTCAAGCCCCGAGACCAACAACAACTACAAAAAAGATATAAACTAGGAAATAGAGATGTGGCTCAAGCTGTAGAGTGCCAGCCTTAAGTGTAAAGCTCAGGGACAGTGCTCAAACTCTGAGTTTAAGTCCCCGTACCAGCACAAAAAAACCCAGGGTTGGAATTGTGGCTTAGTGATAGATTGCTTGCCTAGCATGCATGAAGCCCTGGGTCCGATTCCTCAGTACCACATAAACAGAACATGTTGGAAGTGGTGCTGTGGCTCAAGTGGTTGAGTGCTAGCCTTGAGCAAAAGAAGTTCCAGGACAGGGCCCAGGCCCTGAGTTCAAGCCCCAGGACTGGCAAAACAAAAACAAAAGCAAAAAGCAAACAAACAAAAAGATACAAGCTAAAGAAGAAATGGACGCTTAAGATTATTCAAAGTGAGTTGTACCAACAGAAAAACTAGAAATATAAATTTTTTTTTTAAAAGAGCTATTGGGAGGAGAAAGAGAGGAAGGAACAGTTAATTAAAAAATCTCATCGAAGCTGGGCAATCCTAGCTACTCAGGATGCTGTGCTCTGAAGATCTTATTTCAAAGCCAGCCTGGATACAAAAGCCCATTGGGACTCTAATCCAAAGCTGGAAGTAGAGCTGTGGTTCAAGTGGTAGAGAGCCAGCCTTGAGAAGAAAAGGCAGAGACTCAGTGCGAGGCCCTGAGTTCGAGCCCTGGTCCGGACACGCAAGCACACACATTCCACAGACTCAATGGATAGTGTTAGAACACTTCCAGCAGGTAATGGGGGTGCACTGAGTGCGTTTTATTCACAGGTAATCAGGCAGATTCACTTGACAGCAAAATGTAAAAAAGGAAAAAAGGGAAATTTTTCTCCAAGTTGAGGGTTTGCGAAATGGGAGGAAGTTTTCCAACTTGGCCTTCTCAGCCTCAGCTTTCCGACTGAGCCCGAACGTGCCTTTCCAGCTGCAGGAACTGTATGTGCGAGAAGAGCTATGATTTAAAAAGAGGCAAGACCCTACCTCGGATTCCGACTTTCCCCTGGGCACTCAGGCATGTGCACTGGGGGTCTCGGGAAGGGGCGAGGCCTGGGGCCCCGGGGCCTGCCCTGGCCCCGCCCCGCCCGGCCCCGCCCCGGCCCGGCCCCGACCCCGGCCCCACCCCGCCCGACCCCGCCCCATCCCGGCCCCGCCCCGCCCCGCCCCGCCCCGCCCCGGGCTCCAGCGCGGGCCCCTCCTCCCGGGAGCCCTCGGCGGGGAGAGAGCGCCCCCTGCCGGAGGAAACGACGGCACCTCGGCAGAGACCCCGCCCCTCCCTCCCTCCCCCGCATCATGTGATGCCAGCCTCTTCTCAGTGTGGGGTGGAACCTGGGATGGGAAGGAGAGGGTGGGGAGGGCACCCCGGCACCTTAGGTGAGAGGGGCTGGACCAGTTAGGCGGGTTGTTGACCAGTGTAGGCCAGGCCTGGGCACTTGGCTAGGTGTGTCTGTCATACATGGAGGGGTTGGGGAAGGGGCAGCTGGGCATGAACCCAGCTGTAGAGGGGTTTAGAGCTGGGCCTTCTGTTCTGAGAGAATTCCAGCTCTTCCACCTTCTGTGTGTCCTGGGGGGGCGGGGGGGGGGGCACCATTTGCCTTTCTGAATCTTCCAGCCTCAAGTGACATAATGGTGTTGGTAGGTCCATTCCATGAAAGCAAGTGCGAGTTGTCAGAGACGGGAACTAGCTCAGCCCTGTGTGGGGGCGGGGACCCCGGATCGTCCCAATCCTTCCCGCTCTTGGGGCCACCTCCAAGGTGGTGGAGGGGAGGCCCAGCGTCTGGAGTGGCTGGCCCCAGGCTCTCCAGATGACCTCTCCGTCCCATCTCCACATAGGTGGTGCTTTGGGTTCAGACAGGAGCACAGATCTGTCCCAGAAAGGGGATTCAGAGGACTCCAGCACAGAGGACCCCATTCTCCAACCCCTCCCCACATGCAGTCTTTCCCATGAGGATGTGGCAGGAGCCAGCTTGGTGCCACGCCTGAAACCAGAAGTCCAGGTTGGAGCTCCAAGCAGGAAAGGAGTCCCCAGGAAGGAGGCAAATGGAGGTGAGGGCTGGGACGCTGGGGGCGCTGCTGAGGCTAGGCAGGGGCTCATGGAGCTAGCTTTGAGGGGGAGCCAGGATTCCAGACCTGACCTCAAGCTGCCCACCTTGCCTGATCAAGGAAGTCCTTCAACTTCCAGGAGGTCCCCGGTCTCCCTGTGTGACTTCTTAGTTACCAGATGCCCTAGTAACCTTTGTAGCATGGTACCAGGTCTCCAACAAAAGACAGTGTTAGTAAGCGTAGAGAGGCAGGCAGGGATGGAAGGGGTCAGCTGTGAGCCTGGAGAGGTCCAAGATGAAGGTATGGGCTTTCCTGGGGACAGAGGAAGAAATTCTACACACAGTCAAGAGAAGAGCCAGCCCCTCTCATCAGGCCTGGCTCCTGAGAGGGCAAGAAAGAGAAGCAGGAAGTGTGGGGCCTCTTCCCAGGGTGAGGAGGAGGCTGGTAGCCTCTTATGGCTTGATGGGAGCCCTGGTGGGGACGGTCCATCTGTCGGAGGGCCCCCACAAACTGCTCACCTGGAGTCCTTGCGTGGCTCTCACAGTTCTTTCTCTAGCAACGACATTGGAGACCCAGCAGAGTGTGAATACTCACCAAATGCAGGGGACCAGGCCCAACTAGGCAGCACCCGTGGCTCTGATGGGTCCCCAGGGCCATGTGGAGGAGAGTTGTGCAGTCTAGCCACACAGGGTTCTCCTCAGAGTCCTGCCTTGGGCCTGGCAGGACCAGGACCCGCTTCTACAGAGCAGCTGGAAGTACAGCTCATGGTGGGCAAGGAAGACCAGGAGGGGTCAGAGGCCCAGGCCAGGCCAGTGTGCAGGGAGACTACTGCTACTGCTGCCAGCCTGTCTGAGCCCTGGAGTGGCCTCAGCTCCTCCCTGGAGGCTGCCACCAGCAAGGCCTGCACAGGCCTAGTCATCAGGCAGAGAAGATCAAAGTGCACTGAGAAGCTAAGAATGAATACAGAATCCTGCACCCAAGATCGAGTCACAGTCCACATCAGCCAGGATAGCTCAGAGGAAGCTAGCCCAGGAGGCTGTCCCACATGGGTAAGTTGAGTCTGAAAGTTTGGGGAAGGGAGGGCCAAACTACCTCTCTCAAGGCTGTTTGGTACTTCATAGATCTAATTTAGATAGCTCAGAATGAACATTATATCTCTCACACATGTTTGTTTTTGGGGACAGGATTTCCTTCTCCCTTAGCCTCTTCGGTGCTGGGATTATAGGCATGCACCATTATATGTGACATTTATTTTATATAAACAGAAGTCCCTAAGTCAGGAAAGAGAAAAATAAACTCTTTACTGAATTCCCATGAAGGGCCCTTGGCTTTTGAAGTCAGCAAGTCTTGGGTTAAAATTTCGCCTCTGCCCATTTCCTAGCTAAGCAATTTCACAGTGTGTTTTTGTTTGTTTGTTTTGGTGGGATTAGGGTTTGAATTTAGGGTCTCATACTTTCTAGGCTTCTGCTCTACCACTTGAGCCACACCCTTTTCTTTAGTTTAGTTTTGAGACAGGGTCTCACATTTTTATCCAGGGCCAGCCTAAGACCATAATCCTCCTACCTCTACCTCACAAATAGCTGGGATTATAAGTGTGTACCACTACACTCTAGATATTGACTTTTTTTTTTGTTTTTTTGGGGGTCCGGTCGTGGGGACTGAACTCTGGGCCTGGGTGCTGTCCCTCTTCAGCTCAAGGCTAGTGCTCTACCACTTGAGCCACAGTGCCACTTCCAGCTTTTTTCTTTTTGCTTATGTGGTGCTAAGGAATTGAACCCAGGGCCTCAGGCATGCAAGGCAAGGGCTCTACCACTGAGCCACCTTCCCAGCCCCTTGACATTTTTCTTAACCTAATTTTCCTCATCTTTATGAAGGAAATACTAATTCCATCTCAATGGTGGTATTTTGAGGATGGAGATTATGGTGTAAAATAACTTGCCTGGCATGATGCACATAAAAGTTGCTTAATGCATGTTACATTTGTTTTCCTAACAATAGCCCTACAAGAGCAGAATTAGCCCCATGTTACCAGATGGGGAAATTGAGGCTCAGAGAGGTTAGCAAACAACATTGGAGTCAGGGCCAGTCACATTCCTTCTGCTTACTACTTCCCTTTCTGGTGCTTTTTCACATAAAATACTGATTTTACTATTTGCATTCAGCATGTATTTTACATCAAAGTTAGGAGATGACCTTTCTTATTTTTGTTGACTAATTTCCACATAGTTGAATGTTTTCACATTTATGAATGTGCATTATGTACTAAGTGGTTTTTTGAATATCATCTCCACCTGGAGCTCAGAGAGATAGAGTAACAGATCCAAGATCACACAGCTGGAAAATGGCAACCAGGGCACAGACCCAGGATGTCCTGGGAGCTTGCTGTGCTGCCTGCCTGAGCCCCCATCCACACTGTCAGTATGCAGCTCACTTCACGTGTGTTGAGTAGGGGCTGAGCCCTTTGTTTTTAACCTCTGCAGCAACCCTACAAGGTCGATGCTATTGATTAGACCCATTTCACTGAGGGTCTGGGGGTGAAATGGCCTGTCAAGGCCAAGAAGCCAGCTAGTAGGACTGGTACAGGAGCTACAGAGCTAGGCACCTGTGTGTCTATCATTCACACCATCATTACGTTGCGGAGCTGTTACACTGTAAGCATCATTCAGCCGCCCTCCCTCCTTTTTTGTGCATGTGTCTGTACTGGGCTTGAACTCAGGACCTCATGCTCTTGCTTAGCTTTTTCACTCAAGGCTGGTGCTCTACCACCTGAGCCACACCTCTAGTCTGGCTTTTTGCTAATTAATGGGAGATAAGAGTCCCATAGACGTTTCTGGCTTTGAGCTGTGATCCTCAGATCTCAGCCTCCTGAGTAGTTAGGATGACAGGCGTGAGCCACTGGCAACTTGGCTAAAAAACTGTTCATTTTTACTTTAAAAACTGTTATTCATTATAGGAAATAAGGAATAAATAATAAAGAATCTCCCTTGATGTCCCCATTCAGTGCTAACTTGATTGGTCATGTTGGGAGAGGTCCATGTGTCCAGTTTTCCCCCATGCCTCTGCATAATTTTTTCTACTTAGAATTAGTGTCATAGGCATCGAGTTTTTTTTTTTTTTTGGTCCGTTGTGGGGCTTGAACTCTGGGCTTAGGCACTGTCCCTGCGCTCTTCAGCTCAAGGAGAGCGCACTACTGCTTGAGCCACAGCGCCACTTCCTGTTTTCTAGTGGTTTATTGGAGATAAGAGTCTCACAGACTTTCTGCTCCGGCTGGCTTTGAACCGTAATCCTCAGATCTCAGCCTCCTGAATAGCTAGGATTACAGACATGAGCCACTGGCGCCCTGCTAGGGCCGGGATGTTTAAAAACATTTCATTGGCTTTTTGGTGGTTAACTGGAGATAAGAGTCTCATGGACTTTCCTGCCTGAGCTGGCTTTGAACTGCGATCCTAAGATCTCAGCCTCCTGAGTAGCTAGGATTACAGGTGTGAGCCACCCCCCCTTTTTTTTTTCTCGTCCTGGGTCTTGAACTCAGGGCCTGGGCTCTGTCCCTAAGCCTCTCTGTGCTTATGGCTAGCACTCTACCACTTGAGCCACAGTGCCACTTCCTGCTTTTTCTGTTTACGTGGTACTGAATCAAATGCAGGGCTTCATGCATGTTAGGTAAGCACTTTCCCACTAAGCCACATTCCAAGCACTTTAATGGCCTTATCTGGACTTAGTGACTGTTGGAAGCCAGTTCCCTTCCATAGCCTCTGCCGGTGCCCCTTTCCTGCATGAACAAATGCTGTTAGTCAGTCGGTTCCAGGACTTGTCCTTCGGTTTCTGAGCGTTCTAGTATTTGAAGGTTTTTCTCAGTTGGAACACATTGTCCTGCTGAATCCTCGCTTTTCCTGCGTCATTGTGTCCTTGCTGTCTGTGGACGTAGTTGAACATGACAGCCACAAGCCCTGGGCTGGGACTTGCTTTCCTGCTTTCCTCTATCTACTGGAGCAGAGTTTAGATCAGGGCCCTGGGACCCCCAGGTGGGCATTCAGTAGTCCTGGCTTTGCCTGGTGACTTAGGCAAGAGCTCTCTACCCTTCTGTCAGGATTCCCTCCTCTGGCACACGTGGGTGTTCAGTGCTTACCTCCAGGCCAGTGGGCTGACACAGATTTGCTATCTAGCACTATTCCACCACATTGCCTGTGGCATGTCCTGCTCCTCCTAAGGCTGCTCTCCCCGTTTCAGATCACTTATGTAGGTCAGATGTGGTTTCCTCGCTCTCTAGCCTTTGGGATGTGGGGAGTAGGGCATGTGGGGAGCGTGGCGGTGGAGCTGCGCTCCCACCTGGCTTGACTAGATGCAGCCCCGGGCCGCTCTGTCCTCCAGGCCCATCCTTGCCTCTGCCACACAGTCTTCTCACAGCTTCCCAAACCACCCGTTGCCTTGGCAACTGGCGCCAGCTGCAGGGAGAAGAATTGAGGCTGGGATGCGACAGGGACAGATAGGCGGATGGTTGAAAACAAGGCTGTGAGGGGTGTGGGCAGGCGTGGGCACAGAGCCCAGCTGGTCCAGAGTGCCAGTACCTTCCCCTGGGGCACCCTGGATAGAAGCAAGGGCAGACAGATGGGTTCAAGGTCAGCTTGTGCCTCTTAGTCCAGGGCGGCTTGAAGTGGAGCCATCATTCTGAATCTTGGTTATGTCTTCTGTCAAATGGAAGCAGACACTGGGTCTGGTGGAGAGGTGGGCTGGGCTGTGTTCTTCTGGCTAGAGACGGAGGGTGTCAGGATGCCCTTCTTCCGAGATCCTGAGCTGTGGACAGGGAGGTCAGGAGCTCCCTGTGGGTAGGATAGGAGGGCACACAAGGAGAGAAGTTCTGCCAGGGCATCCTGCCCTGCTCTGTCTGCCTGCCACAGCTTCTCTGGCCCAACCACACCCCCAGGCACAAGGTACGCTGTTAGGTGGTATGCTTCAGGGGAGCTTTTGAAGCTGAAGGGTGACCTGTGATGAGCTCTCTGGGGATGTGGCTCTGTGGTACAGCACTTGCCTAGCATGACAAGACCCTGGGTTTGATCCCCAGTCCTGCCAGGAAGCAAAAACAAGAAGCAAACCAGTTCTTTTTATTTGAATGCTTACTATATACCATTTAGTTGTCACCAGAGCATGAAAGATCAGGGTCAAACCCTCATTTCACTAATTAAGAAAGCTGACATTCCCAGGCCAGGCACTACACCGGAGGCTGAGGTCTGAGAATTTCTGATCTAAGCCAGCTCAGGCAGAAAAATCTGTGAGACTCTTATTTCCAATTAACCAGCAAAAACCCCAAAACACCCAGAAGTGGAGGAATGGTAGAGTACCAGACTTGAACAGAAAAAAAATCAAGTGAGGGCACAAGACCCTGAGTTCACAAGCTCTGGTAACAGCATTAAAAACAAACCCAAAACAAACAAACATCTGGCATACAGAAGTTAATGACTCATTCAGGGTTCTTAGAGCCAGGATTTGAATTCAGGTCTGTATGACTTCCAGAGTCTGTGCAAAATACAGGTTCTAGTCCCAAGGACTGTGGGTAGGGCTGAGGAGTGGACAGGGGAGTGTTCAGAAGGCAGAAGAAGTACAAAAGGGCATACCAGAAAGAAGACGGTGCAGGTGTAAAGGCCCTGAGGTTTGCCCCTTGCCTCTGGGACCCTTATTTTGCTTTCTATCTCCATGAGTTTGACTTCTGAGTGTCTCAGATAAGCAAAACCATATAGTAATTGTTCTTCTGTGACTATAGCACTTGGTGCAATACATCAGAATTATGTTCTGTTGCCAGTTGCTAGTGGCTCATGGCTATAATCCTAGCTACTCAGGAGACTGAGATCTTAGGATCGTGGTTTGATCTTGGTTTTGACTTTCCAGGCCAGGCAGGAAAGTCTGTGAGACTTATCTCAAATTAACCCTCAGAAAACCAGAAGTGGAACTGTGATTCAAAGTGGTAGATCACTAGCCTTGAGCAAAAAGGGACAGTGCCCAGACCTTGAGTTCAAGCCCTATCATTGACAAAAAGAAAAAGAAAATAAAAAGAATT